GGTATTCATGCGGCGAAACCAATGAAATTCTAAATGCACGATGGGGTTGGGTTGGGCCATCGGCGGCTCATAGTTTTATTTCCAATTCACCCTACCAACAGCGCATTGTACTTTAAACTCTATGTATTGTGTGCATTATGCACAATATGACATTTCTTGTTCACTTCAGTGAAACAATCTATCCACTTCTCACCAACTTTCGTGGCAGAAGGGTGAAATTTAGGATAATTGCAGAGCAAGCTCTTACAACATTTCGTTGCTTGTCACGTCCTTCGACTCTCTAGCCGAGTAACTCCGGTAATAAAATTAAGAAGAAAAATTCTCCACACCGAAGACTGCAGCGATTAATAATTGACCCGGAGTTACACAAACAAGAACGAATTGTCGGTACAGGCCAATAGATTTTTACTGATGGCAATGTACGAGGAATTACAAGAGCGTACTTTTTCCTCTCCCTCCTCTGACCTGTCTCCCTCAATAAAACCGACAGTAGATGGTAGAACTTCTTCCACATATGCCCAGAACATGGTGGATTTTGTGGGCTGGTAAAAGAAACTCCATCAGCTCATATAGAGAATTTCCAAAGATCTTATTAGGCAAAAATCCGCACTGTGCACATAGCCTTCGCCATGTACTGTCGGCTATGGAAGCTCTGACCATGTGTTGCCTTCAATTTGGTAAAGAACATTTCACTGATGAGGTAGAGTGATTGTTGAGTGAGAGAAAGACACACACACAGAGAATAATGAGAAGGTGTGAGTGAATAAGGTGAAAGTTCACGCTAAATGTAATTAAATGAAATTGCAAGTTTCTCCATAACGGAAATTCAGGCAAGTGGAGGGAGTCCTTCATGACCACCATCTCAAATCCAAAATTATATATGCGTGTCTTCTCCTAATTTATCCTTAGACGCTTGTCTGGGGAGTGAAATAAGTTGATGCTGGGTGGAAGTAAATTCAAGAGTTTGTGCTGACGTGAGAAAATAATTGGCGAGGAGCATCATCAAAATTGGACTATGAGAAAAGGTTAAGCGATTAATCAGTGATGGCACATAGACATTTTCGAGTTAATTAATACGAAAAACACTACTCTGTACAGAATTTACCACCACCACGATAGGTTCTTGGTGTGGCATCACTGGCTTGGCAGCACACAATCGCGCCTGGGCCGATTCATGGTGTTTTCTGAATGATCATTGAACGACGTGCGTATCCATGTGTTCTAGAATATCTATCCTCTTCTCACGCTCACTCCAACGCTCTACGGCGCAGATATAATTAAAATTAAACATGAAACTAACATGATAATAATCATACCAGGGAAGCCGCAGCAAATGCAAAAGCATGAGGTATGTATATTATGTGAAAAGTTTATATATTTGTGAGGTGATAGTGGAATTGAAGTGGAAATTATTCTGCACATGAATCAAAATTCAGCATATATGGATAATTTCCAGAGGTGTAGACAAACCAACAAAATAACTATGCAAATTCACCATCCCCATGATGAGAAAGTGCAAAACATTCCATAAATTAAATCTGATTGAAGCACATAAGCAAACATTCGCTAAGAACTTGCTTATTTATTTTATTTTCCACCTCAATTCTTTGTAATGCCAAAAAAACAGCTTCTCGCTTCATTTCAGAAATATAGCAAATATTTTAGCGACTCCATCGTACTCAATCTCGTTTTATGCAATTTGAAAAATTAATTTAAAATTGAAATACATTTTATATTATGAAGTTTTATAAATTTCCAGTACATAGTCTCAGTGACTCTGCGAAAGACAGGAATATTCACTATACATCGTGACATTTAAAATAATTATTATAATTTGGAATGGTTTCAAAACATTCTATTAGCCTTTATAAATTTGTCACATTGCGTCTCACATCAACCCCGCTACATTGGTAATGCACTCTTCGCGTGTGGAATTATGAAATTGCTCCGAATTCGTCATTTCAGCTTTTTTGCTCTCATCTCTCACGCTTTTAGATCTCAAAACACTCTCCGTTGCACAGGAAATCATTGCAGCATTCTTGTTCAATATGTCGAATTGTACGCAAAAATACAACATCACACTAATTGTTAGGTCATTTATTATTTAATTGCACGAGAAATACCGCAAATCTGTTATAGTTTATTTGCCTAATGCCTACCAGATGACACATTGACGACAGCACTTTTCTGTGTCCCTAAGTCGGAATGTTTCTCAATATTATAGCCATATTGCGTAAGAGAATTTACATCTCAATAAAAGCTTGCAAAAATACCCCCGAAGCAGTGAAAAAAGTGCCAAAAATTAGTACACTGTCCTATAATTCCTCCTATGTGTGATATTTCACACAACTTTAATATCATATTAAATGAATATGTCTTTCTCTGCAGACGTTGCTTGTGGAAGCCGTATTAAAATGCAAATTACACGCTGCACCAATAAATCCCAATGACAAATTGCAGAGAGTTAGCACAACTATGCACTATCATTTTTTATGCGATTAATTCACCCACCCTACTTAACCACCCTTCCCTTGTTGGTTTCAAGACGCCAAGACTGGAGAACTTAGAGCAGGTTAAAAATAAAAACAATGCAGCTTTGCCAAAAGAGATTGAATGACTAAATAAGAAGAAGAAGAGAAAAAAAACTGAAGAAACACTCTAAAAAGAAATGTCTTGCTCCATTTTAGCATGACAAGAAAAGAAAGAAAAAAGAGAAATGTGTAAGAAGCGACTCTTCTACAGAGAATACTTCATCTCTCAAACGTGCTTATCTGCAAATCTCTTGAAATGTTTTATCTCTATCAACTCTTTCTTTTCATTATGAAAATTAATTAGTATTTGAATAATAAAAACGGTATTAAACATGTTCTATACGTACTTCTGGTTAATCATTTGAATCTCATATAACATTCATTGCAGAATGATAAAAAAAAGAAGAAAACAAACTCTTCTAAGCACACTCTTCCCCCAAAGCGAAAAATTACGCTTACCATCAACTTGTTAATTGGGAATAATTGAGAGAGAAAAATTATTTTCATGCGACTCTAATTGACGATATCTCCGGAAGAGGGCGTAACGTGAATAAATTTGAGGTGGAGAGAAATTAAAATGCCCAAGAAAAGGTAAACCGATTCAATTTTGAGAAATAGAATTATAGGAAAAAATTAAGCTTCCCAGCACTTGAAAGTGTACAATAAATCATTCCATTCACTAATGCTGTATGTATGCATTCGCGCATAGATACACACGGCATATACGAAATTTCACTTGGAATTACTCTGTCTGTATAGGGAAGATCACTGACCCGAAGTTTGGCCACTGGCTCCTTCCTCTTCCACAATTGAGCAAGCCCTCATGTTAGAGTTTTATATTGTTTCAATGTCAGGTGCTCGGCTTATTCCTTTCCCCTATTTTTTCTTTTTTTCCATTATTACAATCCATCAGCGTGTTTGAGTGCGACAGAAAGAGAGGTGCGGATATAAAATTAAAATACCCCAGCGTCTGCCAAATGAAACTCATGAAGTTTGTGCTCTTCACCTGTTCAATTGTCCGTCCTGCTCTTTGAATTATCTTCTCACTCAGTTTTTATACCTTTTTAGAGGAAATAATATGGCCAAGAGGCATACAACACATATAAGTAACACACATTTCCACGTTTCTCATTGTGACAAGACAGTCACAATGTAACATGAGTATTAAAACAATGATAGTAGAACATGCCGGTGAAAAACATAGAAAATAAGCAACCGTATATATGTTTTTGCAGAAGTATGTATTATTGTATATATGAATATATTTAAATAGCATTTTCACGCTCATGGGAAGATAAATCCCCTACTTCACATTGGAGATGGATAAATTTTCACTTCATCAATGGTTTGTTTTGTCTTTCATATGTCTTCAGATACACTTCATGTTCTTATTTCATTCCTCTGCACACTTCTCATCGTGTCCCTGTTTCCGTCTCAGCGCGATCGCAATTCTATCTGTCTTCTTCTTAAACATTGACACACACATGATGGGAAGATATCTTGCTTTTATTTCTCTCTCCCTCGCGTACTGCAAAATTCATTTTTGTGGTAGCCAACATGAATTTATGGCTCTAGAGACACGCCAGCCAACTCACTCACGAATAGAGTTTTTGTATAAAATTCTAGGTTAAACCATAGTCTAACCGTTTCAAAGATGAAAGTCTTTATTAGCCAAAATGGAAATTGAAAATTGATTGATTTATTAACTCCTCAACTTAGAAATTGAAACAATACGTTGCTCACGTTAAAAGGCAACCTTGAGCAGCATTATAGCATGTTGGCGCATAGAGAGAATCTGATTTGCATTCATATAATCGCGATTGTTCTCATCGTTCAATTCAAGTATAGATCATACAACGTAAATTGATCGCTCATCAGATAAATTAAGACTTCTTGAAACCATACCACATTCGGACTTGCGAGAGTAGGAGTGCTTTATGGTAGGTTCAAATTATTTTTCCGATGCCAGAATTAGCACATAGCTTTTCACTGAGTTTCTTCGGCATTCAACTATAATTTGAAATGTGATTTTGCTGGATATTTTTCAATGTAAACTGAACAACATTTGTAATATAATTTCACCACTAATTGCATGATAAATAACAATAATTTGTCACAATAATCCTCTCCATAAATGAGTGTGCGAGTTAAATTTGTTGCTAGCAATTCTCTCGATGTAATACCATTAAAAACGACTGGCAGCACAAATATGCGAGTAAAATATTTCGACCCTTTGCATTTATTATATCAACGTTTGGTGCAGCCCCTGCAGTTCAGTATGATTATCCAGAATACGCCACAAATTAGTGTACATACGCACATACATATTTCCTCGTCGAATCAGCACAGATGATTAAATACTTAATTTGATTGTTTGCCGGTAATTTTTTCACGCATCAAGCAACACGGCATTAAATAAATGATATTACAAATAAATAAGTAATAAATCAGTTAATAGGATTGGCTCACCTCTTCCTCATTAGTAGCCGTATTGACGGAGTCCATGCTCTGGGACAGAGCCAGCGGAGCTATCGGCGTCATTTGGCCCATCGGATTCTCCATCGTTGCTGCTGTTTCTGCGGACAATGGAACTGAAGGAATTACAGGCGATTGCGTAGGATTCGTCAGCTGATGGTTCTCCCCCTGAACTGCCGTTGCCGCCACTTGACCCACGATACCTTGCTGAGGATGGTGGACAACGAGGTGTGCTTGCGTCACGGCAAACGGCCCAACTGGTGAATTGATGATCTGATGGGGTGTCTGGCGAAGTCTCTTAGGTGACAACACCACCTGTGGTACGCTCGATGGCGGAACTGGCGGCGCTGGCCTTCGTTTGACCGCGGACGACGAAATGGTGATCGTTTTTATGTAATCGTGTCTGAACCGAACACCATGTGCCGATTCTGCAAAGGTACAACAAACAACCACACGTCAGTTACTCGATCAACACCATCATTGATTGTCTCCACCTACAACTCCCAGAGCCCACAGAAAAAAAAAACAACACCGTGCATTTAATTCAATTTGATGTACTCTTCACGCTACAGAGCTCGATCGCGTTGGTTGGACTAAGAGGACAGAGCTCAAAAGCAATTCATGACGTCCGAGTTCTGACTCAGGTTTCTCTCTCACCTTGAACAGACATAATAATACAGAGAGACATGACAAAACTTTAAACACAGAGAGAAAATCATCGAGAGAACTTGGTTTTATTTTTCACTCTCATTGAGCAGATCAGCTGATTCCTTCCTCCACCTCAAAAAGTGACGTGTGATGTTTATTAAGAAACACATCTGGCTAATTTCTTCAGCATGCAGCTTCTGGGGCGAGAGAAAACCTGTCTCGATACAATCATTCACAAGTAATACACTCTATTACGTTCATTCAGTGCAACCGTATACAACAAATTATTAAGAATCGGATGCTCCGTTCCTCTCCAAATCACGCAATATTGACAGATCCAAAAAATTCACAAGGAGAGAGAAAAGTGAAGATTAAAAATACGATATATTCCACGAAGCTCGCAGAGAGCGGAGATCATGGAATGCTTTAATGTATTGATTAGTAAGAAATGGAGGAATACATGGGATATTTCAATTGGAATAATTGAAAAAGCCATCAATCAATAGAGAAGGGTATTCTCTGTTCGAGATTGACTGTATATGAATTTACTATTGTTGCGGATCAGAATAGTGAGTTGGTTGTGCAAGATGACGATATGGTCACACCAAAAGTATATGCATATCAACACAATGGAGTAGCGTAAATGGGCATTCTCGGTGCTGTTCCATGTGTTGGTGATTAATTGAAAAAATGCCTTCGTGGGCGGCTAGTTCTCGACTTTCTGTCCCCACGTCAATTCACAATTTGTGTGGACATGCAGACACTATATAATTAGATGACAAATGTTGTCTTTTTCGCCTCTCCTCTGGATCTCGTGGATCTCAATTAAAATCAAATTATCGCGATGAAATTGTGTTTGTTGGAAGTGTCTCTGTACATGTGCACGACTCTCGGGAGATATTTTGAGAGAAGAGATATAATTTGAGCTGCGGTATTCCGCAGAGTTGTAGAAATTTGCCAGCAGAGCTTTTCAAGAAGCTGAAGGGTTGCTTTGGGACAATCTCACAGCTAATATTGTGTGACCTCTTAATATGGAATGTCATGAAATATTCACATAAACTAATGAATCCAGTCGCTGTATTGCTACAATTAGCACGCAAAGAAGGAATAATTATGATTTGTCCTCATTTCTCTTCTATTGAAAAATATACCTCGGAATGTTTCCATATAACATGGAATTGAGTAGCTCTCTCTAACCCCTTCATTTGTCACCTGACTCTGAGATTTCAAGTGGTTATATAACGTATTTCGGAAACTTTTCATTCGCATAAACTTTTTATACTATGTGTCTGCTATGCTAAAGTGGTTAACCACGGGGGCTTTCTCGATTCTTTCCATCCTTCACCCGTCAAGAGAGCACGGAGCGCAGGAAGTAGTCCAGCTTCATCGACACCCTTTTCTTTACACATCCCTTTTCTTTCGCATCGGAAAAGAAAATAGCCGTCGCGTCGTTTCGTGTCAGTGTCACACATTTTGCCCACAACGAAATTCATCCTCTCTAAAGTGCCACCAAGAGGGATATTTTCCATTTGTCAAATTGTAGCTTGACGAAGCATTTCTTTATTTGCTACACAAAATTGTATATTCCAAAGGTATGGGATTGAGAAACCATAGTGAAATGGGGGGTCTTTTCAATTCAGACTTCGTGCGGGGATGGAAGAAAAGTCAACCGCGCCGTACAAGTGGAATTCTAAAGGTCAACAGAATTTGATCCTTGAATTTTATTTATTTGATTTACGACTGTTTGACACACAGAGAAGAAAAACTGCCACCGTGATGTATGTAGTCAGATTTATTCTACCCTATATCACTTCATTATGGAAAGTTATTCCGGAGGAATTCTGGATATATATTTTTTATTTGATCTGCAAAAGGTGAGCATGAAGATGAACACTTTTGTCATTTTAATACCCACAAAACTTTCACGCGGTCACAAATACTAAGCTGCTAAGCTATAACTTTTCGTTTCAGACTCGTCCCGAAAAGTTATAGTCAAACACAATATATATCTCTGAGAGACAGTGCAAGTCTCTAACCAACACATTTCTTTTGAATTGTGCCATTTCTTAAGCACATTAAGACTCGTACTGAGCATTTGACAGCTTGTGTTGTGTTAAAGAAATACAATTTGCCTTAATTTAAAGAGACAGAGTAAGATTTTTTACGAAATTCAATATTTTCTCAGCATCTTGATATAAAAGCACACAGAGAAGTCACATAGTTTGATTAGTAAGTACATTGTGGTTTTACGCAATACTTTACATACCGTATTATGTATTCGATACACATATTCGTTACATTGTATGTTAGCATTCCTTCTTGTATACTCTATAAACAATCCCAAAACTCTCTTCTTTTCTTAGCTCCCAAGAAGAGTTTTACTGCAGAATAAGACATATTTGTCTAGGATGCTCTTGAAAGAAGTGCTTAGAGTGCCCAGGGGCAGAGTGTAAAAGAAGAGGATGGAATTAAATATTTGGGAGGATTGCTAATCTAAGCATTTTGCGCTTCTGCACACGCATCAAAAGCCCCCAAATCGTTAGCACTTTAAGAGTTCAATGCGAAATGCGAGTAAAAGCTTAAGGAGTAGCTGACAGTAAAGCCATGCCATAGAATGGAGAGTCTAGTGTGTGCCATATTCTGTGTATCCTCGGAACGTGACCGAAATAGTGCGATAAGCTCCACTGCAATGAGGTCTTCCTCCACATCTTCGTTCCTCATGGTTCACTTTCTCTCCGGTTTTCTGGATAGCCAATGATGGTTTCTCTATGGTGTGAAAGTGGGGCTAGATGGAGTCATTCCAAATGGAATAAATATGGTTTTATTTCGTGCTTGTTCCCATTGATTTCCCCCCACCTACGCAGCCGCCCACCTCCCAGCCCAAGGAAGCAGTGACACGCAGAAGGGTCAACGATAAAACTCACACTCTCGGGCCCTTTTTTTTCAAAAGAATAAACACAAACACTTTATGCCCTCCCTCTCGCACGCTGAAGCTTTTTATTGCCCAACAGAATGTTGCCCGACTTCTTAGGATCTCGCACTCCGGAGAGGCGGCAAAGTGTCTTGCCAGCACACACACGTGGATGATGCCGAGAATGAGACTTGAAAGAATTTTCATTACACTCCCCGAGTTATCTTCTCTTGGCCCTCCTTAGGGAGATTTTCACGACTATGGCAGCCAAAACGAGATTGCTCCCCGCCCACAGGCGAGCAACGATTCTCTCTCTTAGGTTTGGGCAAAAGTTGCCACTGCAGAGGACGATTATAATTGGCTCCATATGTAACTGATCGTCTACGATATTGGCCACCCTGTCGCGCCCGAGAGTCCTCCACATGAACACTAATCTCCAACGGAGAGCTTCTTGTCAATTCCAATCATGTCCTAAAAGTGTTTATGGTTGTGTAAGAAAAATAGATTGAGAGTGGTTTCCTCCTCTTGCCTACCCTCTGTTTGGTGTCGAGGAAAACTTGAACACTAGCATTAGTTACATGCATTGCGAGTATATAATATTGATTTTATATCTACCAGTTTTCACAGGATAGACTCAAGCATTGGCATACATATCTGCCAATCTATATAGTCAATCCAATAAAAAGTTATCGAGTTAGGCAGAAATATGATGTAGCTATGCAACTCGCCCAGTACACCGACTAAGACTTGCGGCACTTCCAAACAGCCGCCATGATGGAAATTCTTGCCATTGTAATTGAAAGCTAGTTAACTTCTCCACCAGTGTGGCGGCACAATGGACGCCGCAATTCTACGAAATTTTTCTTCCCAAACAACTTTCAATGGGCTTTTTTACTTGTATCGTGTCAAAAGGCAATTTTCACATAAATTTTTCACATGAGTCTGCGGTGAAAAAAGAAAGATTGTATTGTATATACATATTTGTTCAAGTCTGGGAATAATAAGCGACGTGCGAAGTGCGAATGAGGCGCGTTTTGTAGGAGATGCTTTAAAATTGATGCTGTACTACTTACATTACGAGTAGGTTGGGTTAAGTTATAGTTATGCTAAGACGTCTTCGCATGACTTTCACAGTAAAATAAAATTCTTTTCATTCCATCAGGTTCTGTACACTGAAGTTAATGTGTTGCATGGTTTTGTTCCGAAATTGGATGTTTTTGTATAGAGGAAAAGTTTAACTGAATATCACCAATTTGTCGCAATTAAATGTGTATGAATACGTTCGGAAAATGGGTAAATTTGTGTTGAAGTTAAATTGGGGCTTGAGGGTGAATTCTCTGCGAGTCAGTATGAAAGGGAGCCATGCGTTAATAAATCACATCGTATATTATGGCTTGACTGAATTTCGTTTTATTGACCAAAATTGGGCTGAAAGTATTCAAAATGTCCTAAAAATGAGTTATATTTATATGAGCTTCTTATAAGAAAGCTCAGGATTGAATGAATTTTGCTAGTTTTCACCAAATTTTCAATAAATCATGACATTTAGCCAAGAATCGTGTTGCGTTTTATAATCAAAAGCTCGTGCATGATTCACCAAAAAAAATGGTGTCTCAAAGAACTTTTTTTTC